CATGAGACTTGTAAATAAAGTGACCCATCTTTGTGTGTACAGTACTTTATTGTTGTTTTTATTACAACGCGCGTTTATTTGATTATTGATAGTCATTTTTTTTGAGTCTGAAATGATCGCTCACACAGCTACTGGAACGAATTCGAGGCACTCTGATAAGAGAGGGACACGTTACGAGCACTTTTGATGACTTGATTAATGTGATAGTCAAAATGGGCAAATTTAAAATATGCTTGACAACGAGTTTACATGTGTATACAGATTACCGTTGATTTTTTATTGTTATAGCGCAGTAGGAGCTCTTTTTGGGCTGATTCTGGAAATTTGAGACTGATATTTGGAACTGTTACGCGCATCCTACGCTCCCCATTTAATGTAATAGTTGCCATCATAAATCGTTTTTTGTGACAGAATCGACATCCATATGAAATAATCACTACCACTTTACATGTCTTACGCAAGTTATTCCTGCGTTGTTGTAATATGCTGTTATTTTGCTTTGTAATATGACTACTTTTTTGTTTAAAACTGTCCAAGGCTGATACTCTTTTGTCTTCTCCTCACTGCTTTGCGTTGTTTCGGACTCCTCGCGTATTCGAGTACTAGAAGAGCTGGAAAGCTGAAATTTTAAAAGAATGTTCCAAGTCCATGTACAACTTAAAGATTTCAAGTCAGCTCTTAGGTACACGTAGTTCTCGCTGACGAAACCTGAAGGACAACCAAACCCTCTTCGAATCGTCTAATGTTTCGTTGGTTAATTGGTACTGACATATAGCACAGAGTCGAAGCCGGCATCAAATTGCTTCCAAGAAACTCTTATTTGAGGGCACTATCGGCAGTCTTGCAAGTAGGTGGTCACTGTGGTATGCGCTACCACAAGGACTATGTCCGAGCCCTTTCACAGAATGCATGGGAGAGTAAAAACATAATTAAAAATTTCTGCAGGATACATGAAAGGCCTTGCAGCTTCCCCCCGTGGGAAAAATGAAGCTGGAAGTAATGATGGGGGCTGTTGCGTGTCAAAATCTTGCCAAAACAGAAGAGATGAGGCTATCAAGGCTTGACTCTTTTGTAGTAGCAAAATAACTCGTTCTCAGTGTAAACCCCAAAAGTTTCACCGTGATTACTGAGGTGAAAGTGCACTGAATGCGGTGAAAAGAGGAAATTGCTGCGCAACTGCACAAAATACGGTAAATTTATTATAAAAAACATATCCCTGAAGAGAAAAACAGTTCGAGGTGAGAAAGAAAAGTGACTGGACAGGAATATACGCATAATGGCAAGTTATTAACCAACTGAAAGCGAATAAGGCAGTGCTTGTAAGTCTAATTTTGGACATAATGAGCTAGCTTCTTCCTTCCCACTGCGATTGCTCGAATTCTCGGTGTGGGGGTCTTCGATATAACTGTTGCACGCACACATACATATACACACACACACACACACAAATACACTCACACACACACATACATTCGTAGCAGAGTTTTCTTCCCTGAGCTGTCTGTGGACCCCATCCCCATAAAGTACGCACACACTTTCATGGAGGCCATTCAAGCAGTCGTTTTTTATGCATTTTTTGCAGCTATGCAATGCAGAAGACGCATATTGACGAGGGGTCGTCTGTGTGTGTGTGTGTGTGTGTGTGTGTGTGTGTGTGTCTGTGTTTCCGTCTGCCACGATTTTTCATATCAAGAGCTACAAAAGCTACAGGGCTGAAACTTTGGGATTAAGGCCCGTACGTGAATGTAGATTAAGTATAATCTACATTCACGTACGGGCCTTAATCCCCAAAACGGGCGCCATTACCCGTGTGGTACCCGCATGCGAGCCCGCCAAAGTTTTTTTAGGGTAAGCTCATAACTTGGGGATCTGAGAAGCTAGAAAGCTGAAATCTTAGAGGGATGCTCCCCGTCCAAGTGGGTATTAGTGAGCCCAAACCAGCCCTCGGGTAAGCGTGGTACCCGCGTATGGGCCCGCCAAAATCTTTCGCCGGTAAGTTCATAACTCGGGGATCTGAGAAGCTTGAAAGCTGAAATCTTTGGGGGATGTTCCCCGTTCAACTGGGTATTAGTGAGCTCAAACCCAACCCTCGGGTAAGCGTGGTACCCGCGTAAGGGCCAGCCAAAATTTTTTTTCGGGTAAGTTCATAACTCGGGGATCTGAGACGCTACAGGACTGTAATTTTAAAAGGATACACTCGGTCCACCTACGTTCATTCAGCCCAAACCCAACTCTCGGATATGCGTGGTAAATACGCACGGGCCTGTGAAAATTTTTCCAGTAAGTTGCTAACTCAGGAGCCAGGGAAGCTAGAAAGCTGAAATTTTAGGACGGTGTTTTCTGACAGTTCTGGCGGCCAGTCTTAATTTGTTTAGCTAAAAGTATTTGCCGAAAAAACCGGTGCCGGTAGCAACAGAAACTGCGGGGAACCATGCAAAAGCGCATCTTCGCACGGGCAGCCCATGCGTTGGCCAATTATTTTCACCGGCTAAGAGTGGCAATTCTTGATAAAAGCAACGAATCGGCAAGTTACCGTATCGTAGTCTAACAGCAAAAACTTCAAAGACGAGGTGGGTCTTGCTCTGCGCACACCAAGAATATCTTAAAACGGTTAATGCTTAGCTAACTGTTTTGCAAAGATGACCATTGAAACAGTAATCGGTTCAGGAAGCGGAAAGAGCGCTGGGGTTGCCAACTAGATGACCATCAGGCAATGGAGAATCGACTGAAACTGAAAAAGTTGCCAGCTGCATAGACGGATGACCAGATTGTGGCATTCTCAGGCATTCTAAGTTATGAAACTGCTGATGAAGAGTGGCTCATTTCTGATATATCTCCACTGATGTATAAGCTTAAATGCATGAAAACACTCCGGTCAATGCTGAAAAAAAACATTGGAAATGTGAAGACAGAAAAGCAGATTAGGAGAACGAAAATATTACGGACCAGCATCACCAAAAAAATGACAATCGAAATAAACTTTTCTAGTTATTGTCGGCTAGAAGACGAGACTGCCGATGACTTCCGCTCTAACTCGGGCAGAACCGATTTGATCGTTTCCGGAATGCAGTCCACAAATTCCTACAAATACAAAAAACCGGATAATTCATCTACAAAAGAGATAATTAAAAGAACGAATCCAAACAGAGACACACCTGATGATTGACCCAGTGCGCAGTTGCCAGCACTCCACCACTGTTGGGGACTGGAGCATCTTCACCGTAGTATAAATCATTTCCTGCTATGTCAGTTAATCTTCCACCTGGAAATTTATTTATTCAGAAATTATCCTCACCCATCCAGATTTAAAAATCCAAAGTTGAGAAGACGAACGGGAGCAGGATCATCAGCAGTCTGACCCTGTCAGTCACCTTCGCAGATGAAGAACCACGCTAAGTATTAAAAATTGCTCTCGACATTCCAGTATTTTTTGACAAACGCTTTGACGGGTATTTTGAAGGAATCACAACTATGCATTTCGTACTGAAAACTATTTTGTGCCTGTAACTGAGTGAAGTCACCAAATGGAAGTACAGAAATCAATGTAAATAATCTGTCTTACTCAAGAAGTTTCCCGGCCTCATTCCGGAAAAGTTATGCAGCGGAACTATGAGGTTTGAGTATTTCGGGGGCACTAGAGCAAAAGAGGAGAGTTAAGCTGAGGAACGTATGTATCAAGCGAGCGCAACAGCAGAAATCCCGTGAAGTGGTAATGTTATGGCTCTAAGTTTTTCTACATTTGTAATGTGAGTTCAAGAGTAGCCATATTCTTCGAGTGCATGAAGATCCCCAACTTTATACCAGATTTGGTGACCTATAGGAAAACCAACAGGTCTCCATGAATAAGAAAACACCATTAGGAGATCTTAAATTTTAGATTTTCTAAGTATTTTGGCAAGTTTTCCAATTAAGCAGCATAAGATGTAGCTATCATCGCTGTATCTTATGCTGTTTAATCGAAAAACTCGCCAAAACGAAAGAAAACACAACATAACCAGCACTAAGTAGACAAAGACCAGGATAGTATTTTCTTTTAAAATTTATTTTTCAATTCGATCCTCTATAATTTGCTTATTTCTTTCGATTGAAAACTGGTAGTGACATGCCAGGATACCATATTGCTTCTGAACAAATCTTGGAAAAAGAAGTCACAAGTGGCCCTGCTGTTGGCATCTGCTATCACGTGGGCTACTTCTGAGTGCTTCCGTCTCTCGTAGAGGTGAGAGAAGTGAGGCAGAAACACCTCATTTTTTATCTTTTTTAGTTTCCACTCATACTTGTTTTTTTTTTTTTTCATGAATAACAGCACTTAGAAATCCTTCGCACTTCGGATTAAAACCTGTCAGTACTCGAAGCAGTGGCCCAAAATTCGTCTTCCACCAGTTAACAGAGAAGTGCTCGAGGTTTCTTCAGTGAATGTAATAAAAGCCTGGTATGATTTGCCGAAGGACACTGTTTTTGCTCATCCAGTAAAGTTTGTCCATGCTAACAATAGACTCACTCTGTGACTTCTTCTTCAGAAGTATTGTAAAATTAATGCACTAATCCCGCTGTTTTAGACGGAATATATATAAATATATAGAAAGAATTTATATAAATATATATTCTGTCTAAACAGCGGGATTAATATATATCCTGTATATAAATATATTTACATATATTTTGTTTAAAATTATAAGACGCAACGTACAAAGTTCAACAGTAACAAAACAATGTACCTGATTCAGTGATTACTGCTTCTGGAGCGCAAGTATCCCATTTCTTACAGCCTGGGCTAGCGAAAACATATGCTGCAGCACCCTCTAAACATTTCAAAACCTGAAATATCATCAAAAACTTTATAAGCGTTCCTGCTCCAAACTCCAGAATTCAAGAGTTAATCTTTTCAACATTACCAGCCTATTTCCAAGGCACTCAAAAATGGTCTAAGTAATGTTGCTAACAGAAAATGCACGCTAGTAGGACTGCCGATAGTGCCCTTTTCACCGAACTGCTTGAAAAGCTAAGATGCTAAGAACGTCGATACCGACTTGTTAATGATACAAGTTAGCAGTTGCAGAGAAATTAATTTGCCTAAAATTTATAACAGCAAATTAAGACTTCACATTACACTAAATTCACCGGCTAACACTGCAAAAGGAACGAGCGGAAAAAATTCAAAAATTTCCAGAAAATGAGCTCATTCCGACAATGCAACAAGAATACCTTAAATCCAGCGCCTCCGACAAATTCCACATCACTTATCAAATTTTTCTCCCTCAAAAGGTTTAGCGTGTCGCGAACTTGCGGAGTTGAATGACTTCGCGTTGTAACGACGTATCTTTGCAAATTCCCTGCAAGAAAATTGAACGGGTTATTCGTTAGATCCCTCGGGAAACTGTTCATCGAGGCAACAATATGCAGCATTAAATTCACCGTCAGTCTGAAACAAATTTAAACAATCCATGAAAATCTTGGTTTTGTGCTAAAAATCAAGATAACTAGAAAAAATGCCAGCTGATCTGGGAAATGAATAATGAAAATAATCGTCCTTTTTTAATGCAAAACAGTAGCAGTGAATAACTAAGCAAAAACGTAAAATTATTACCTTTGGCAACTTCAATGCCGTGGACCCCAGCACCTTTAATGGCCCATATTGTGCGGCCAGAAGCATCGGCACCCCAAAATGGCTGATGAATAACACCGGCTATAGGACGGCCTTTATGTGCAACACCAATAAGTACAGTTACTTCCTGCTGACGAGCTGCAAAGACCAAA